GCCATTCTCGCCCGTCCAAATGGTCGCATTCCGTATCAACGTTGCTCGCGTGCCGGGAGCGTGTCTATCCGACTCTGCGCGCGAGTGGAAGTCGAGTGGTGGCCCAGCAGGCACCCGTAGCGCGTAGCACTTGGCCAACAGCTCCGGCGCATTCGGAGGCGGAGGCACGCGCGGACCCGGTGCTACGTACCATAGCAGGCCCGCCGCGCACACTGCTGCGCAGAGAGTCCACGACCCGAGCTTGCGGCGCTCATGGCGCGCGAGTCCGAGTTTCTCGTTTTGCATGTTGAAATGGAAGACACCAAGGAGGCGTGAATCCGCTATGTGCCGAACGCTGATGTCACTGCCAACAAGCTCGGATTACAGCAATCCTAGGTCAATGCACGTGTGGCTCAAGAATTCTGAGCGAAAGAGCTTCTGTTACCAATATCCATCACTCACAGGAAGATGAATGACATATATAGCAAAATTATGTGCGGATCAAGCGACGTCGATAACGTAACCAGAAAGAACTCAAGAAACTGCGCTTTGAATTTGGGCCTGAACGCGTTGACGCAGTGAGTCCGAGAGCTGAGGATCTATCTCTATGTGGACACGCTTAGGCGAGGTGGAGCTTGGTACGGTGACTACACCTGATTCGCGATTTCGAATAAATGCTAGAAACTGGTCTTGACTTTCGGTGCCGTGTCCCCTGAAGCCGAAATTGCCTAAACAAATACGCTCGAGCGTCGGCCATACCGGCGGGACGGCTTCTGCGAGCTTGGCGAACATCCCCGTCCAAATCATAGTGCTATCTTCATTCATTGCCCAACGTACAATCAGCGGAGCGCCGATGCTGAGGCTTCGGATGGATGATAGCATTGATAGTGCAGCTGTGTTGGCCGCCCAAATTTCACCAAATAGGCCGAGGTGTTCGAGCTCTTGGAACCGAGAGAGGGCAGAAGTGTGTCCTTCATCCAAATCCTTGCAACAGAGGTTCATCGTTTTCAACTTGGGGGCGTGAACGAGATGCAGGAAAGATGCATCTCGCAAAGTCAACGAACGCAGGCAAGGGAATGTACATGGTGCACCCGGGATATGCTGGAGCATCTCGAGGATGCAGAGGCTACGGAGTCGAGCGCAGGTTGGATTGAAAAGTCTGCATGCGTGATCGTCGGAGAATACGGCTAAACTTGTCAACGATGGCAGATACAGCGCCGTAGCATCTATCTTCAGTTCATCGTACTCCAGGTATGCGCGTTCCAAACGAGGTGCCTGAGGAATTGCCTCCAAGTCGTGATTGAACCAGATGGATAATGAGTGTAGGAATGGTGAATACCCATTCATCGCGCCAATTATCTCGAAGATGTGGGCGTATGGCAACTTCAATGCTACACTACGCCACCGATGTCCGAGATCATTCAGTGCAGTGAAGATCTCTGAGCGATATTCATGATTGTTGGGGTTTCTGCCATACAAGGCACAGTGAAAAACAACATCCACGGGGTGATCCTTCGACAGCGATCGAAGAAGGTGCAGCCTTTCCAAGTGCGCATCTCGAGTTTCCCCTGGTGGCTCGCTGAGAAAGCCAAAATACGTCCAAAGCCGAGATGTGTTCCGAGCCAAATGTCTCCAGTGTTGGCACACTGCTGCAAGCACGAAGGGTTGGCACGCGCGTTCTTGATCGTACGACGCATTGGGCCAGGGAAGAGGGTCATCACATGCCACCGCATCAAATATAGGCAAGAGGACGTTGTCAGGAACGAGTCGCATTCCACGCGACGGGTAAGAGAGCAAGAGACAGAGGGTAAACAAGAGTTGCACCCGGTCTCAACCGTTGAAACCAGGAGTGTGTCATCGCAAAAAAAGGCTCCAAATTCTGGACACTGAAGCGGCTGGTAGAAATCCCGAGCTTCCCAGATGACTTTATAGAGAGGAGACAGTAAGAGTCAAATCTTCGTGCTTTCATCACAATGAATATCTCTGGTCAAACGGGAGGGTAAGCGGGGTAACCAAAGCGATGGTCCTACATCCACGATCCCAAGTGTACCTGACAGCTTAACCAATACCTCGGGCGCTCCCACTAGTAGAAGACTGGGTTTCTCGGCAGGATATCGGTACATTTATTGGATTCCCTTTGCTCTACTAACAACTTAATACAATCTGCATCTTAGATAGCCTACACGACAGTCGCTACAGCCCAGCAGTTTGAATGAAATCCTGAACGTGTTGGCGCACCGAGCTCGAGACCTTAGGATCCACCTCTACACGCAAGTGCGTAGGCGCCAAATGCAAGTTCGGTGCGGTGACAACAACACCCAATCGACGAGTTTCAATGAATGCTATAAACTCGTCTTGGCTGTAGGTGCCATCTTCTTCAAAACTGAAATTCCCTAGGCGAACCTGCTCGAGTCTCGACCACACAGGCGGCACAGCTCTTGTCAACTTGACAAAAGTCCGCGTCCGAATCGTGGTCATATCTTCTTGTAATGCCCAACGCACAATCAGCGGAGTGCCAATGCTGAGGCTTCGGATGGATGATAGTGCTGATAATGCGTCTGTGCCGTCCGGCAAGATGTCACCAAACAGACCAAGATGGTCGAGCTCTGTAAATTGAGAGATGGCGGAAATGTGTTCGTTATGCAGGGTAGTGCAGTTCAGATGCAGCTGCTTTAATTTGGCAGCTTGGATGTAATTTAAGAAACCCGGGTCTTCCAGTGTAAGTGATTGCAGGCAAGGGAATACACTGGGTGCATTTGGGAGAACCAGCAAATCATCGATGATACAGAGCTCACGAAGTCCGGCGCAGAGGGGTGGGTTGAATAACCTGCATGCCTGGCCCTCTGAGAGCAGGGCTAGATTTGTCAGTGATGGCAGACACAGTGACGCGATATCGACCGCTAGCGCAAACGACTCCAAATATGCCCGTTCTAGTAGAGGTGCCCGAGGCAAAACTACTAGATCTGCGTCGAACCAGAGAGATAGCGACTGCAGGAAAGGCGAGTGTCCAGCCATGGCGCTGTCGAGCTCGGTAGTGTGTGTACCAAAAATCTTTAGTGTTGCGCTGCGCCATCGCGAGCCAAGGCTATCAAGAGCATTGATAATCTGCGACTGATATTGTCGTTTACTTGGTTCGATGATCTGATAATCATAGCACTTCTGAAAACCACGTCCACCGGTTGGCTCTTGGACAGCGATCGAAGAAGACAAAGCCGTTCTAGCTGCGCATCAAGTCCACCTGAACTCGGATCACTGGGAAAGCCAAAGTAGGTCCACAGACTGGATGTATCGCGAGCCAGGTCTCTCCAGCGTCGACAAATTGCCGCGAGCACAAAAGGCAGGCGCGCGCGTTGTTGATCATAAACCGCATTGGGCCATGGAAGCGGCTCATCACGCGCTATCGCATCAAAAATATGCGAGAGAACGTCGTCAGGAACTGGCCGCATTGTCTGTGAGTGTAGGAGATCAGGGGTGCGAAATGGCAACGTCCGATATGAGCGCGTGATTGGAACCTTCAACTGGTGACGCCAGCACATCGAGACTATACCATCGTCAAGGTAGCTGCAGAATCCTTTTTTTTTTGTGGAAGCCCGAGTCCCTTTCATGGGGCAGCACAGCACTCCCCAATCAGGTTCATCTTTCGATGAGGGCTTATTAGCAGACGATGATTGGAATACACAACCACCGATGACAACCGGCTCAATGCCCTTTGGGGCAGACCGGCGGAGAATGCCTTTTCCGCACACCCGATCGCAGCTGCAGAATCTTAACCGGAAATTCAACTCATTCTTGGAAGACAAATTCAATTCTAAAGCAAGAGGTACAAGGTTGAACGCCGATAACTTAACAAGCTGCCTGGATGAAGAAGAGTTCGCTGGGTCGAACAAGTCAGTCGCGTTGTATTTTTGTAAGAGTAAAGTCACATACTCGAGCTCAGTTCTCGCCAGTGGGCACGCCGGGTGCAGGTGTTCCTGAGGGGAATGGCACGCTACCCGAGTGATGGTGGCCACCATGATGCGGACCATCAGTTGGACGGCTGCCGAATGACCCGCTGTGCGTAAAAGAGCCCGTGTGGTGATGACGGGTGTGCGATTGCGATCCGCTGTGCGAACCCGTGTGGTGGTGATGCTTGTGGTGATGACGCGTGTGCGTGTGCGTGTGCGAGCCAGTAGCCTCGCCAGAGTGATGCGGGAACTTGGGCAACTCAGAGGGGCGCTCAGGCGTGCTGGCGCGGCCGAAGAAACCCCAGGGAGCAGCACTTGCGGCGGCAACGAATGCAAGAATGGCAATGGAGATGCGCATCGTGAACGATTTATCAAGTTATGCGGCGACGAAGAAAGAAAAAAGGTAGGAGAGAAAAAAAAGAATAAGGAAAAGCTGGTGGGTAACAGAGGTGTACCATCGACGGCAAATTTATACCAGAGGCCGGCGCGCAAATCACATACGCTGACTGCGTAGGTCAGGAATCCTGGCGACAACGATCAAAGGCGCTGCAGCGGCGCTGTTACGCTCGTGCGCAGTAAGACTTATCCGGTCTAAACGGAGCTGGAGCCCAACGAATCCAAATTTACCGGTCAGTGTGCCGCGTTCAAGTGAGGCGTTGCCGCCCTAGTGCTATTTGAGGCCACTTCTTCTCCCAATCCAAGTCAAGGCCGAGAATACGGCGGCGGCACCCGAAATTCTAAATAAGAAAGGTCGCGAGCCATAAAAAGCTAGCCTCATGAAGATGTGCAGCTGAAAGCAACGTTCAGGTTATGGCCAGCAGTATGCATGGCCGATGGTTTTTCGAGTACCGTCACAGTGATAAACCTGTGTTGTGCAACGAGATCAAAAATTCCCACGGCCCACTTCCCGAACCTTAATAATACATGGAAACTCCTCTTTAAGTAAATGTTACGATGAGCCCTACATGGTTAATGAAACATGCATTGGCCGCAGTAAGAATTTGAGTCGGATTTGCTGACGTGCTGACAGAAGTCGAAGCAAATGATTCACATTGTGAACTCGGAAAAGAGAAAAAATGGCTCGAACCGGGATTGAACCGGTGACCTGTAGATCTTCAGTCTATCGCTCTCCCAACTGAGCTACCAAGCCATGATACACTCTTCGGTTCTTGCGTAATTATATAAAGGTATTTTGGTATCCTCTTAGGTTGATTCACATTCAACATGAAACGCCTTTGTCTTCGTAGTCTGAAGATTAATTAATCTGTCTTTGCGTGAGAATTTGGTCAGTCATGCAGACGTTGAGTATCACGACTCGACAAAGCAGGAGCTTCTTGCTTTTGACTCTCCTCCGAACTCAATGAATTTTGCTAAACAAATAGTGATCAACTGTAAAATACGTTTATGTACCTGCTTTAATGAACAATAGGAAGTCGTATGAGGTGGAGACACTTTATTGAGTCGCCCGCTGTACACTGCTGGGTGGAGTTCCCAACCAACCTCGCAAGTTACAGGGAGTGTAAATGACCTGTCGGGAAAGATCATAAGAATAGAGTTCGTACAATATTAGAAACCCACGAGTCTCAACAGGGTCGATGCAAGTCATTAGCTTCTGACAGTAGCGCTGCAACCGAGATGACAATGCAAGACATATGAGTTGGTCGCCGCAGGTTGCGGTTCGAACGACGAAAGCGGAAATGCGATAGCAACTTGCACGGACGGATTTGACTGGGCAGATACGGGTTATGGATTTGACGCAAAGGTGGACCATCTCAACTCGGATCGCGACCATCCGCTTTGCTTTTGCCTGGATCCCGGCGTCCGACGGGAGCGCGACATTGAAAGACAACAGCGTGACATTTTCATGAGAAATCCGACGGTTTACTGTAAGTAGCCTATGAAGGGCAAGGGTGAACCGGGTCGAGAAGCTGCGTGAGAGATGCGAGAGCGAGCAAACTTGAGACAACAAAACGATATTCACTAGGACAGCAGCGATGGGAAGGGAAGGGGCACAGGATAGTGTTTAGGATAGGTAGGAGCGGTGCAGGATGAGCCGCAGGAGGATAAGATTGTGAGTGAGTGGGAAAAGAGGTATGCGGTGTCAATGCTCGGGGCGGAGGTCGGGAGACGGGGCGACGGGGCACAGATAATAAACAATGAGAAGAGGGTAGGTAGTTGCGGATATGAGAGATGCGGCAAGTGCGTGTGTGACAGGCGCGAGCGAGAGAGCAGTCGGAAAATGAAACGAGCGAGGACCAGAGGCTGGGAGGCGATGGTGGTACAGATGTATGCAACAAGAACATGCAGGGAGATTCAAAGCGTACTAGGACAGGGTTACGATATCATCCGAGCTCGCTCAATGAGGTATGCGATGTGGGGAAGGAGATAATGTTATGCACAGAACAGAGGGAGGACGAGGGGGGGGGGGGACTATACCACAGGGGCGGGGGAAGTGGATTTGTGAGGCGTCATGCGTTTGAACGAGCCAAGGAGGCCCACACCACGACTCAGACGACGCTCTTTACGCTCCAAGACGGGAACATTCAACTGGTGGGAGTAGCCATGTCCATCGTCGCTGCGCGCACTTCTGAAGACTGATGCAGCGCGGGCGAGGCGGCTCAAAGTGATGTCGCCCTCTTCAGCGTCTGGCGTCGTCACATGCGGTTCTGAGCTCGTAGTACCACTCTCCATACTAGGGGACATGCTGGGGTTCGGACTGGGCATTGGTGGACGCGTGAGCCTATTGCCGCGAACGCCATTCGAGTTTGCAGCCACGTCTCGGTCGTGTGCTCCACCGGCTAGTCTATGGAAAGCAGGGAGCGACAACGAGCTTGCACGCAGGAGGTCTGCACCGGGGCTGCTGATGCGTTTGGAAGGGTTCCTCTTGAGAAGCTTCTTCCTTGACAGCGACGTACGAGCCGCATGTTCGTCCAACACAACCGCAGCCTCTCCCGGGAACATTGGAGACATTGGAGTCGTGAGCGCATCGACGCCATGGTTGAGTATGTGGCTATTGGACAGACGCGACGTTGTCAGCTGCAGCGATGGGCCCGCATGCAGTCGGTTGAGGTACGGTGTGCTTTTGCTCGTCTGCATCATGGTGTCCGGGGAACTGCTGACGCGCCTGCGCAAGGTCGCCCACCAGCCACTTGCCGCTGATATCGTGTGCCGCGAGTGAGGCAGCGGCCGGGTATCGATGTCGTCTGCGTCAGCAGCCGAGTACGGGCGATCGCGGCGCCCAAAGAACAGGCTGAGACTCGAGCTCCCGCTGGCGCTGTCCACGCGTTCGCGCTCGAAAAGGAACGACCGCTTCCTGGCCTTCTTGGATTCGCGTGCCTCCGAATCGGCGCTAGGGGATCGCTGCTTGACCTCGTCCAATTCGTCGCGCAGCTGTTGCACACGCCGATCCGCAGGCTCGTCCTCGTGCACGTGCCCAGACCCAGAGGGAACCGGTGCCGGCCACTGCTCGCGCAAATACGGGCCAAACAGCGCTCTAATGCTCCTGGTTCGGCGCCGTTTGTCCTGATTCCTGCTATCTCTCCACTCGGCCTCCGCTTCAACCGGTGTTACAATGTCCCACTCCTCCGGATGCTTGCTACTACCCGGCGAGTCCGGCCGAGTCGCAGCAGTTGTGGAGGCCGCTGCCGCAGTGGCTGCGCGGTGATCCCAATCGAATCCGTCCTCGCGTTCCTCGACCGCTGGCTCCTCGGCCGGCGGGGTCGGCGCGGCCGCAAACAGCGTGTCGAGCTGCGGGCCTAGCACACCACCAACGCGCTTCAGCGGGCCTACGCGGCCGATGTAGTCCTGTGTCGCCATTGCTGTCGCAGCGAGGCGTCCTGCAGAGGGCCGACGACGCACGCGGTCCGAGCTGGAGCGCGACTTTGAGTGTGCAGGGTCGGGTGTGGGCGTCGAAGGCGACCTTGATTTTGGAGCAGAGCTCGCTGACGAGGCTGAGAGTCCGGACTCGGAGCTGGGACCACCAGAGCTCGATTGCGAGGACGTCGAGTCAGACTTGAGGAGCGGCCGATCAGAAGACGCCTGAGCCAGGGTCGCAGACTCCGAGACTTCAGGCGGGTACGATGCGGTGGGAGTTGTATGAAGCAGGAGCGCAGGAGCATCGGCAGGCGATGACGAACGGTCCGCGGTTGAAGGCCGCTTCGCATCTGCGACGACTGGCTTGAACTGCACTTTGCCGCTGGATGACGACGGGCGCGACGACATTGACGGTCGAGACGTGGGGATTGGCGGTACAGGCGGGGTGACACTCGATGCCGACGGAGACCTGCTGATCGACCCAGACTGTTCCCACTCCTTGGTAGAGCCGAACGTGCTCTCCCTCGCATGACCGCCGTTGATCTTGGCATAATTCCGCGCCTGAACGAAATCCAATCAAGTGAACAAGTGGAGAACGAAGAAAAAAGAAAACACGCACCTGAGCATAAGCGCTACTCAAAACATCGTCCAACCCGCGCTCGGCCCGCGACACGCTGAGTCCACTGGCCGGCAACGAGTGCCGCTTGTTCGGACTGGTCGCTTTGCGCGTTACGGGCGTCACAGGCGTCGACGGTTCTTCCTCCGGTTCCGCCGTCAGAGCAGCTGGGCCCTCGCCCGGAAGCGCAATGACAAACATCTCCGGACTGGCGACGGTGCTGCTAGGTGTATACGCGCATCGGCCACCGCGAGCGAGCAGCGCTCGTCGCTAGCGGTCCAGCCGGGCGCCTCGAGGCGCGTATTGGCGAACGACTGCAACCACAACGCCGACTCGCGCTCCCCGGACGCGTAGCAGTCGAATCTATGTCCCGACGCCGTCGTAATCGCAAAAGCGAATTCTGCACATAAGGTTAGTCAAAGAGAAAAATCAAATGCAAATGCAAAACCCGTGCGTACCACCGATACTCGGTTCTTCAGGCTCGACCTTGGCGACAACGCACAGAGGCGTGAGCGCAAACCAATGTCTCGGCTCGTACACTTTGTTCCTCAAAACCTGTTCCGCCATCAATTAGCCTCCTCCCAGAGTAGAATTTAAAATACGAAGGCACACACGCACCTTGACCATAACAATATACCCTCCATCATATACGAACACGCCCAACGGCCTGCGCTTGCCATCGCTCTTCCGCCTTCCCGCAGCCCTGCTCGGGCCTGGCATTGACTCTCCGCCCGCATCCCCCGCAGTAGCGGCGACCGCGATGGCCGTCATGCCCATGGCGCGGCTGAGGCGCTTGCGCGACACGTTCTTACTGACACCAACGCTGGTTGTTGACGTCGTGCGTGGGCCTATCGAGCGCGGCGAGAGGCTGCCGGACGAGCTTCCGGAACCCTTGAGCGATTTGGCTGAAGGCTCGCGGGACATTGGCGTCGGCGGCGTTGGCGAGGTGACAGGTGACTCGGATTCTGGCGTGGTGCCGGAGGGGGGTGACGAAGAGGCGGACAGTACACGACGTCGATGAGGCCTGCGAACCGGACAGGTCCCAGACTTGCGAGAAAGCTCGACGGGAGGACCTACGTTTAACAAGATATGTCAACATCAATGCCAAGGATGGAGACCTGCGCGCGCGCCAAGAGGGAGAAGGGGAGCGTTCTACGCACCTCTGCATGTCGCCCGCCAAAGCCAAGCGTACCGCTACCCACGCTCGCCGCGATACGCGCATTGATCCTGTCTGTACGCAAGCGGTCGCTTTCGCGCTGCTGCGCCTCATCCGCCGCGTCTGCAGCCGCGCGCGCAGCACGGATCGCCGCCTGAAGGTCCGATGCATCTATACACACACACGCGCGCGCCGAAAAAAAAAAAATCAGTATCTCAGTATCAATTTCAGAGCTCCTCAACGACGCGCAAGCACACAGCGACACCGGACGGACACAAGCACCCCAACGATGGAGAAGAGACGCGCCACGCAACAGACGCCCGGACGGGATCCACATCCCGAAACGCGCGCTCGACAGGAACGCGGCGCGACACTGCACACACACACACACGAAGAACCTCGTGCTTGCTTCGTGCGCGCCTCGTGCCCGCGCGAGGCGAGCCTCGCCACCATGACAGATTTGCCGCGGAGCGCAAAGCGCGAAGGCAAGTATCGGAAGATGTCCACAGCAAAAACATCATCGGACCGACGACACAAACGGACCAGCAGCACGAGGCCACACGAG